TTTAAATATAATTTCTATAATTTCATAGTATATATAGATATATTTTGTTGAAACTATATATTAATAATTTAATAATTATTTTGTAGATTAATATTTTAGCCTGCAGATCCTCATTGATCTTCATTATACAATAAATTTTATTTTTATTATACTGTTATAGTTTGTTAAAATTTTTTTAGTAATTTTTGGTGAAATTATGGCGATCAACTTTGATGAATTTAAGATACTCTATGAAAGGGAAGCAAAGAACAAGAGGTCTCAAGAGAGGGTGACTCACGCTACTGGGTTTATTAGCTCTAGTACCTACAAGATGCAGATGGTAATTAAGCATAATTAATAAAAATAAATATATTAAATTTTATTTAATAATTAATTATGCATTAATTTATACTAATTAATATATTGTATTATAAATATTTTGAAATGCAGATTGAATCTAAAGGTGGTTTGCAACCTCCTTATCAAGAGAAGTCCAAGGAAACGCATACCTTCAGAAAGAAGGTGGCAAAGGACCATGGGCCGGTGTGGATAGATGAAAAAGTAAAGTGCCGACATGTAAGTATACATAGTATATAAATTATCATGCAATTTATAGTTATAAGTGTAAGGAAATTTTATTTAATTAATCTAAAATTATTTAGCAAAGTCTATTGTTTTTTATAGATTTTTTTCAAACTACTTTTAACAATATTATTATTATTATTATTGTTTTTAGGATACTTATGTCACAGAGTACGTGGAGACTCATGGCCCTGATGCCAATACGTGGCCACACATAGATCATAAGGGTAAGGTTGTTGAAGGTTGCTCATCCAATTTCATGCTAGGGATTGGCTCCCAAGTAAATCCAAAGAATGTTGGATTTACTCACAGAAAGAGACAACCTCGAGACAACTTGATGGTAGTGATGATGATGTCTGACTTTGCTGAGGAGCAGGCACGTCGGAATGAAGAGCTAAAAAGGCAACGTCAACAAATAGCTTTGATGCAACAACAGTTGGCTCAGATGATAGAAGCCCAGAATAACATGAGTCAGACAATTGCACAGTCTGTTGCAGCAGCTCTTGCTGCTTATGGCATTTGCCCCCAAGTAGGTTATCATCCATTTGCCCCACCACAGTCGTCACATAGTCAGGGCTCGAATACTACTTTCGCTAGCTCCACTGATTCTACTTAGACCTCTCCCATATTGCCTAGATATCATCATTAGCTTCCACCTTAGGAAGATGTACATCATCCTGTTTTTTATCTAGACTATCAAGCTCCATAGTTTTGTTTTTTGTTACATTATCTACATACTTTGCATGGTTGCTTTTATTTTTGTTAATACTTTTAACTGTTAGCTTTAATTTTTCATTATGATATCTTTTAATATTTTGCTTGATCTCTAGTGATCATGCTTCAAAAAGTATGAAGTTTTGGACTGTTTTGGGAGTTAATCATCATGAATTGAATATCTAGGCATTTAGAACAATGGTATGTGGTTGATATACTTTGTGATTGTGCTTGAAAAGATATCATTGCTTTTAGTATGACAAAGTTGTAGAATATGTGTTTTTCATTGCAAATGCAGGTTTAAAAAAATTGGCTTTGATCATATATATGAGAAAACTCTTGCCAAATTTTCTTTTAAAATTTCTATCCACTAAAATGACCAAAATGTAAGAAATCTATTGAATAAATTCGAAATTAAATATCATATGCATTTACAATAATGGTATGTGGTTGATACTTTGTAGTTGTGGTTGAAAAGGTTTTTAGTATAGCAAAGTTGTAGAATATGTGTTTTTCATTGTTAATGTAGATTTTAAAAAATTAGTTTTTATCATATATATGAGAAAATTTTACCAAATTTATTTTAAAATTTATGTCCACTAAAATAACTAAAATGCCATAAACCTATTGGATGACTTTAGAAATTGACATGAAAATGGAACGAAATCTATAGAGAAATCTGGGAATTGAGGGAGGACTGGCTTCGTTTTGTAGGTTTTAACATTTACCAACAAAAAGCACGTCGCCACGTCGGTAAAATTTTGTTGGTAATCTTGATGGCGGGAATGTGAAATTTTTGCATTTTAACTTGCGAACGTGCATTTTGTTGGTAAATGATGGTGGGAACTACAAAATTTTTTAGTAAGTAATTTTGTTGGTACGCAGTTTTCTTGTTTCAATCGCATGATTTCTCCTTCTCCATCTCTGATTCAGTTACTGATTTGCGTTTTCTTGATATGCTTATGGATGAGTTTGTTGGTTTGTAAATATTCATGATATTAGCTGGATTAAAAGGTCAGAATACTAATGTTATTAGGAAAGAGAGAGAGAGAGAGGGAGAAAAAGACCAGAATCTATAGAGATGCCGGATGGATGGGTTTGCTTGAGCTTCTTTTTCCTTTAATCATGGATTACTTTTAAATATATGAAGTAATATTCATATTTTCAACTCGAATTTTCACTTTTTGTCAACTGCTTTCGTCCTCTCTATCTTTGTTCTTTTATTTCCTCGTTTGTTTAATTTTGGTTTGTTCATTAATTAATCCTGCAGGCTG